CACCAAACCAGAACTCCAGATTCTAGACCGGTGCCATCTGTCAGGCATGCAAAATAGAAATTAATTTGCCTTCTCACCCCGATCTGATCCCCTCGGCCTTGGCATCCCATCAGGGCTCCAGGGGATAGGCAGGCAGTTTCCCAAAATAAGTACATTGAATACCTGCCTACCCTTCACCTATGTTCACCAATTTTAACTTTTTTTTTTTTTTCCACATTTAGGGTATGTGTCTTTCCTTGTATACATACACATCTGTATGTTTGTATGATTTACTTATATTTACACGTACACGTATGTACACATTGCTATTACTTACCAAGTCACTTTGAGAGTACGTTACAGGTGCTGTTGACCCTTCCTCCCCACCAAATACTTTACACATTCTTCTAAAAACAAGGGCATTCTCCTACATAATTTTCAATCGTGTCTTATAGCGCAGTTATGACATTGAAGAAATTTAACACTAACTCAATCCAGCACAGAGTCCACATTCACATTTTGCCAGTTTTCTCAACACCATCCTTTATGGCCATTTCCCCTCCACCCAGGATCCAGTCCCTGACCTTACATGGCATTGAACCCTCATGTCCCCTTCAGTCTCTTTGAATCTGTGACAGGTCCTCAGCTTTTCGTTGTCCTTCATGCCCTTGACATTTACGAAGAGCACGGGCTGATAAGTAGAATGCTCCTCCAGCTGGGTTCGGCTGCTGTGTCTGCTTTGTCAGATCCGGGTTATGCATTTTGACCTGCTACAGCATTCGTGATGCCATGTCCTTCCTACATCCTCCGACCGGATGGAGCATGCCCTTTATTGGGGACGTCGCCTTTGATTACTTGGTTAAAGTACAGTCAGTTGTCTGCTGTCCAGGATTTTTTTTTCCTTTTGAAACATAATAAGTCATTTGTGAGATTTGACTCTATAAATACTCTGCCCCCAGCAGCCTGTCCCCACATGGTTTTAGCATCCATGGAGGATTCTTCGCTGTATCACTTACTTCTGCAATGGCTACACAGTAATGATTGCCCAACTCTCTTCTTTCTTTCGCACGAATGACCTGCCTTTCCAGGGAAAGGCGGAGCTTCCCTGCGGGCCCCCCCCCACCGCCGCGTGAGAACAGAGAATTTCTGTGAAACTTTTACTTTTTTTTTTGAGAGAGAGCAAGCGCACACGCAAGGAGGGGAGAGGGGCCGAGGGAGAGAAAGGGAAAATCCCAAACAGGCTTCACTCTCAGCTCGGAGCCGACGTGGGGTTCGATCTCACGACCCTGAGGTCATGCACGACCTGAGCCGAAACCAAGAGTCAGACGCTTAACCAACTGCACCACGCAGGCTCCCCCTTATGAAACCTTTTTCTTAAAGTCCCTGGTCTCCTTTCTGTTCCACTCCCTACTCCTTCCCCATCTCAGGGCAGAGACAAAGTAAACATCCCTTAAGAAGCTTTCGTGAAGACAGAATGAAAACAAGGTAACCAAGGAGTTCAAGGAAGCAAGTAAATTTGACAAATTGGCCATTCCATGGGTTCGAGAAGGGTGCCATCCTGTCTCTAGCCTGCAGCTGTGGCTAGGGTGGGCTGCTAGCCCTGTAATGCTGACTCTGGAGCAGTGGAAGCCTTAGCCTCATCTTGTGGGGCCAGTTTGGGAATCTGGAAGCCGAAGGATCCAGACCCTTTGAGGACTCATCTCATGCCGCTCATCTGCCTGAAACACAGCAGGCAGTTGGAAGGCTCGGTCTGTCCTCTGTGGCAGAGACCACACTCTGTCCAGTGGGAGCCCCGAGCCTCCAGGATGGAGCAGCAAATACCACTTTTCTCTACTTTCACACCCACAGCCGACATCCGTAATCAGTGACAGAATTCTTCCCCACCAAACCAGAACTCCAGATTCTAGACCGGTGCCATCTGTCAGGCATGCAAAATAGAAATTAATTTGCCTTCTCACCCCGATCTGATCCCCTCGGCCTTGGCATCCCATCAGGGCTCCAGGGGATAGGCAGGGCGGCGCCTGACCACTACTCTCTCTGCCCATAGGGTGGACCCAGGCTGTATGAGCCCAGATGTGAAGAATTCCATCCATGTCGGAGACCGGATCCTGGAAATCAATGGAACGCCCATCCGGAATGTGCCCCTGGATGAGGTACGGGTCCCGAGTATGGTGAGCAGGATTGGAGTGCCTTCACGCCCTACTCCTCCCCCAACTGCATCCCCACCACCTCGGACTCACCTGTCCGCGCATCCGCTCTCCCCAGATTGACCTGTTGATCCAGGAGACCAGCCGCCTGCTCCAGCTAACTCTTGAGCACGACCCCCATGACACGCTGGGCCATGGGCCGGGGCCTGAGCCCAGCCCCCTGGGCTCCCCAACTCATACTCCCAGTGGGGAACTGGGCAGCTCTCCCCGGCAGAAGCCTGTCTTGTAAGTCAGCCCCGTGCCTTGTTTTATCCAGATACTTCCACAGACACCAGGCCTCAGGGGGATGGGGCCTGGTCCCTGCTCTCCAGGAGCTCCCAGTCTGGTGGGCGAGTCAGCCTTGCAGGAAAGCAGGCCAGCAGGGGGTGGAGAGAGCTAAGATGGGGTCATGAGAGGTGGGAAAGCAGGGGACCCAGCTCCCCCGGCTGGGGGTTACAGAGCGCTCCCAGCGTGGACCGGCGCCCTGGCTTCAAGGAACAGCAGGTAGGCAGCTCAGGACGATGGGAGCATCGAATGTCGTTGGGAAGGGGTGGGCCCCCTAAAGGGCGTGTTTCAGAGACCGCTCTGGTCCCCTGTGCACAAGGGTGCCCGAGCCCAGAGATGGCTCGCGGGTCATTGCGGGGTCCAGGCAGGAGGTGCCAGGGACCCCATACTCTCTTGAAGGGAGGGGGAGCACAAGGAAGAAACCCAGAGGCAGCCTGATCCTCACTCCACTCACTGTGAGGCCTGCTCAGGTCTCCGGGCAAAGATTTTTGGGGTATACCTTCTGGGGAAATCGTGTTTACTCTAAGAAATGGTAGTGTTGAAGGCCTGTAGTTCCTCCTTGCATGCGTTTGTCAGGAGCTCTAGCTGCCCTGTGGAGCCAGCTAAGCTACATGGCTACGGCCTCCCTGGCCAGGCTGTCTGTCTCTGCACCCCAGGGCCTGGCACCTGAATGCTGGGAGACAAAGCATCTGACCTGGGCTACCAGGCAGAGAAGGCCAAGGGCAGACAGTCCTGCGGAGGCCACTTGCAGGATAGCAGGCCTAGGGCAGGGCTCTGGGTGCTGGCATCAGGATGGGGCGAGAGCCTTACGACCCCCCAGGAGATCTGCCCTGTGCCATGCTCTCCCGCACTGGGGTGGGGGTGCTGATCGTACGTGGACTGGCGTGGATGGGAGTGTGGCAGGCAGGAGGAAGGGGTCAGGGCTGAGGCCTGGTGCCCAGCTGCCCTGGTGACACTCAGCACCACGTGTGCCTCCCCAGGAGGAGCTACAGCATCGACAGGTCTCCGGGTGCCGGCTCACTGGGCTCCCCAGCCTCCCAGCGCAAGGACCTGGGGCGTTCCGAATCCCTGCGCGTGGTCTGCCGACCACACCGCATCTTCCGGCCATCGGACCTCATCCATGGGGAGGTGTTGGGCAAGGGCTGCTTTGGCCAGGCCATCAAGGTATGGGGTGGGCCTGCGCAGGGGTGGGGCCGGAAGTGGAAGTGGGGGACGGTCCAGGTGAGACCCATCAGTCCTCCTGCCTCCCTCCACTGCCTCCAGGAACCCATAGTGGAAGGGGCACCCGGTTTCCAGACTCCCTAGCCCGTACTCTCGCCCCGCTGGACTTCCCGGAGCTGGTTAGGGGGAGGGGACTGACTTCAGAGAGACCCAAAACCTTATGTGGAGGACGTGGTTGGAAGGTGGGGGGATGGGAGGGCGACCCAGGCTGATCCAGAAGGCTCCCTCCCCGGGGCCCTTGTACTGAGCCTGAGGCCAACCCCTCATGGCCCCTCCACTGCTCACCCCCTCCCACGCTCCCCCAGTAGAGACCTAAGCCCTCCCCTGGCTCTGATGTCCCCTGGTTGTGACCAGGCTGGAAGGTTCAGGATCATACAGAAGGTGCCCATCGGGCCCTGTGCCCGGTCCCCTTCCCGGCGTGGGGGGGTAGTCCTTGGCAGGGCCGCCATTCGACCTCCAGGAGACCGCCCAGCAGAGCAGAGGACAGAGAGCTGGGCCTGGGTCAGCGGTCCTGGACCTGAGCCCCAGCCACCGTCTGCCCTCCTGCTGGGTGACTTGGACGCTCTCAGAAGCCTCCTAAGGCCCCATTGCCTCATCTGGGAGGGAATCAATAAGTCCTGCCCCTCGGGGGCTGCGGCATCACCTGAAATGCCCATGAAGAGCTTCAAGCCGGGTGTGTCCGTCTCCCGCACAGTTTTGGGGTGCGGCTAGGGCCTCCTACACAGCGGACAGAGAGCAGAGCCTCTGTCAGTATTGAGTCGCCGTGCCTCGGTGTCCCCACACAGGTGACGCACCGGGAGACGGGCGAGGTGATGGTGATGAAGGAGCTGATCCGGTTTGACGAAGAGACCCAGAGGACGTTCCTCAAGGAGGTCAGTGAGTAGAACTGCCACCCCCTCGATGGAGAGGGGTGGCACGGGGTTCTGGGAGGATGGGACGCTCGAGCCACACACTGGAAGAAGAGCATCTCACCAGGAGAGCGAGAGGGGCAAGGGCATCGCTCGGGGTGGGCGCAGCCCACGCAGACCGCACGGTGGGCGGGGCGGGTGTGGTGTGGGCGGGGCGGGCGGGGACTGGTCCACCTTCGGAACTGGTGGTGCCCTCTGGCAGGGCAGCGGAGGGAGAAAGAGACTGGGGCACAGCCCCCGGCCTAGCCTGTCTGCACCCCGCCAGGTGAAGGTCATGAGATGCCTGGAGCACCCCAATGTGCTCAAGTTCATCGGGGTGCTCTATAAGGACAAGAGGCTCAACTTCATCACGGAGTACATCAAGGGGGGCACCCTCCGGGGCATCATCAAGAGCATGGTGAGTGGCCGGGCAGAGCCCCCACCTCCCACCTGCTGCCCTGTCCCCACCACCAGCACTGTGGGCCCTGGGCAGGCAGCTGCTCTCTGGGCCCCCCTCGGCCCCTTCAGCGGGCTTGGCCTCTGGTCTCCAGGGCCCTCCAAACCCTGATTCTGAATCAGACAGGGAGCCACCAACTCCCAACTGAAGCTGAAGTCCAGAGAGGGCAGCAGCTTCGCCGAGGGGACACACAGGCTGTTTCGGGGTGGCCGCCCTGTGGACCCCAGGCCTGGCCCAGAGCAGCCAGACCCAGCTTTACCTGCCACGGGGAGGAACACCTCAGGAAAGGCACCTTTGTTACCTCTCCTCTGGGAGCCTTTTTACTATTTACTATGTTCTGCAAAATTCGGAACTTTGTTGAAGGCCTTGGAGAAAAATTGCAAATCCAAACTGAGAATGCATTTGGGGAGGAGCTTGTAGCACCTGGTGCTCTTGGACGGTGCCCCACTCGGCATCCCCTTGAGACCAAGCAGTCCCGTTCCCTTCCTGCACCCCAGATGCCTCCCTCCCTCAGGCTGGGTCCCTGCAGGCCCCTAAGGTGCAACTTCTCAGAAAGAATTCTGTGGTTAAGTACAATTTGGAAACGCCGGGCTATACCCTCTGGGGCTTCCTCATTGCACTCTGGTCTTTTATATGCTCCGATGTCCTCACCCGCCTCTTGAGTTCTTCGGCGGGGGGATGGGGTGAGAGAACCAGGCGTCTCCCTGGATGAACTGAGCCCAGAGCCCTACTCGCTGGTGCTCAGTAGGTGTTCTCATTGGGCCCGTCTGTCTCTGCCCGTACAGGAAAGTAGGTGCAGATTTTCTAAAAACCTGAAAGAATGGGATTGTGTTGAAGATAGAGGGTTTTTTTCCCCCAAAGAGCTGGATCGGGAGCTACAGAGGAGTATCCCCCACTTTGTGTTTGAAATCACATACTGGAAAATGTCGTTTTTGAGTTATCCACCCACAGCCCTTAGATGCGGACAGGTGTGGGGGTAAGAGAGAGTTGGGGGGTGGGGGTCATTGGACCCTCCGGGACACCTGCTGCCTTGGCTTCTCTGTCCCCCAACCGTTCTGCCACCGTGGCCCCGTTGGCCCATTCTCTCCTGCCCCCTCAGGACAGCCAGTACCCATGGAGTCAGAGGGTGAGCTTTGCCAAGGACATCGCTTCAGGGATGGTGAGTAGGCTTGGGGAGGGGGTGGGAGGGGGTGGGGGCTGGGTGATCTGACCCCGCTTATAAAAAGATTCTGTCCCACTAACCTAAAACTTGACAAGGAAGTCAGAGACGGAAGCTATTGGGAAGCTCTGGGAAAGAGCAGGGGGGATCAGATGGGGGTGGGAAGAGCACCCCTCACTCGCCTGTTTGGGGCAGCCTCTGGGGAGCCAGGGCTGGGCTGGTCCGGGACCCCTCAGCACAGCGGCCTCCTGACCTTCATGCCCCCTGCCCCCAGGCCTACCTTCACTCCATGAACATCATCCACCGGGACCTCAACTCCCACAACTGCCTGGTCCGAGAGGTGAGCCGCCTGGGCCCAGGGAGGGAGACCGCAGGAGCCCCGCCTCGCACACTCCTAGCCTGGGGGCCCTTTTGGGGACCGGGGTCCTGGTTCGCCCCCTCCACTCCTTGGGCCCGTGCGGAAGCAGTGCCAGGAGGCAGACAGACCTGGCTCGGCCATTTACTTGGACTGTGGCTCCAGCATTCTGAGCCGTCAACATCCCAGGTTGTTAGGAGGCTCTGATAAATGGATAAAGGAGAAAGTGACGGGTAATCTGTGATGGCTCGTGAGCGTGGCGTTGCCAGAACAGCCCACGGCAGAGCGGCCAGGCCTACGGCACGCAGCAGTAACCCTGCAGGCCTGGAGGGGGGCCTGGGTGTGTGGGCGGGCGCGGGCAAGGCTGGCTTCTGAGAGGCTCTGGGGCCACATACTGAAGGGGAGGGCGGTGAGCCCAGGGTCTGAAGGGTGGGGATGGAGGGGACCATAGGCTGTCCACAGGAGGCAGCAGGGGGTGGCCGACCATGTCCAGCTGGACAGATAGGACATGCACAACACAGAGAATCACAGACCAAAATGCACTCCCAGGGTTCAGGAAGCAAAAGGTCCCAAGCCAAGGTGTTGACAAAGTGGGCTCCTTCTAGAGGCTCTGAGGGAGAATCTGTGCCATGCTTCCCTCCCGGCTTCTGGAGGCTGCTGGTGCTGCTTGGCATTCCTTGGCCAGCAGCCACGTGACTGCAGCCTCTGCCTGAGTCCTCCCCCCGTGTGTCCTCTTCTTATAAAGACAGCAGGCACTGGATTTAGGACCCCCTCCCCCCCGCTGGATCTAGCATAACCTCATCTGAACTAGTAACATGTGCAAAAGTCCTGTCTCCAAATACAGTCACTGTGAGAATCTAAGTTGACATGAATTTGGAGAAGGAGACTCTTCATCGCACTACAGGCAGGTTGAAATCCAGGCCTGGAGGAAGAAGTTTCTCCAGGCAGGCTTTTGCCAAATGAATTCAGTACAGGAAGTGTTTCAGGCCTGGCGGTATGACGGTCAGGAAGCAGTGAGTTGGTCACCCTGGAGTTGGCGGGGCAGGGGGGTGGGGGCGGGTGTCTCAGCCCACTGGGAATTTCCAGGAGGCTGTGGGGGCTTGTGGGCTCAGAAAGCAATGGGGGGAAAGCAGTGGGCGGTGAGCACAGAGAGGTGGGCAAGGCTGGATCCACCCCCCACCGCCCCCCCACCCCGAGCCCGCTCACACTGCCCCTGCTGGCAATGAGCGTCACCGCAGGGCTGAGCCCATGTGGTGTGGGAGGCCAGGAAAGGGTGACCTGTCACAGCTTCCATCCGCAGCAGGGGGCAACCCCTGAGAATCTGATGAAACTTGTGAGCCCCTCCCCGCCCCTGCATCCCCAGAATCCATCTATGCACAAACCAAAACCTCTGCCTACTATTTGGGGCCTCTGAGAATCCAGTAGTCATCCTTGGCTGGTCTCCCTGGAGCTGTCTCCCATAGCAGGCCCTACTGTAACATTAGTCCCTGGGGGACTCTTCAAAAGTGGAGGGAGGGATGGGGCAGGAATCAGCACTAGAACAGTCCTGGCGGGCCCCGCGCATGCTCAGCCCCTCCCACCTGCCGTCTTTGTAGTTTTCTCTAGGCAGCTGTCCGAGTTGGTGTCACTCCCAGAGGTGACAGAGTCCTTCCCTTCAGAGTGAGCCTGGTCCTAAGCCCCACCTGGCTGGCGCCCTGCCGCCTCCACCTCTGTGACCACTCCTCGGTGTCCGGGCACCATGGCCAGTCCTGGGGCTGGCACGTAGCGTCCGTTAGAGGACCTTCCCAGCCTCCTGACTTAGCACCAGTGCCCCAGCGTTCCCTGCCTGCTCTGCTCCCTGGCCTTCAGGGAGGCCCTCTCCCTGATTGTCCCATCTTGCGGGGACACACAGCCATCAGTGTCTCCACTCCACGGGGTTCCGGGCCTAGAGGGGGTCCTGCAGACCGAAAACAGTGGAGCTGACCAGCTGGATGGCCTTGGGCAACTTTCTTAACCTCTCTGGGCCTGAGTAATATCATGTGTAAAGCGGGGATAAAAACAACATGCACCTCCCCAGACTGTTGGAGGGAGGAGTAAGAGAGAAACCTGTCCGGGGCCAAGCAGAGGACCTGGGTCTTGAATGAGAACCACCACCTCCCTCGCACAGCCGGGCGGCCCCGGCGCCCTGATGGGGCGGACACAGTACTCCCAGGCCCCCAGGTGTCCGAGGCGCGTCCTCGGAGCTGTCTGCGGATCGGGCCCGACTAGGCGTGGGGTGCGCAGGTGGTGCCAGGAGCCTGTCTCAGTGAGGCCCCGCTTCCTCGTCACCTCAGAACAAGAACGTGGTGGTGGCCGACTTCGGGCTGGCCCGGCTCATGGTGGAAGAGAAGACACAGCCCGAAGACCTGCGAAGCCTCAAGAAGCCGGACCGCAAAAAGCGATACACGGTGGTGGGCAACCCCTACTGGATGGCGCCCGAGATGATCAATGGTGAGTGGGCCGGCCTGCCCATCACATCCTCCCGGGCCCAGCAGGTCCAGGCAGGTCCGCGGCGCCCCCCATCCCCGGCCTCCACCTCCTCCTCCTCCTCCGCTCCCTCCTTGGGTCCTGTGACTCCTTTCCTGTCTCGCTGTAACAAATCACCACCTGCTTGCCTTTAAAATCAAATTACCATCTAGTCCTGGGAGTGGGAAGTCAGCGTCGGTCTTGCCGGCCTGAAGTCAGGTGTCGGCTGGGCTGGGCTCCTTCTGGAGGCTCAAGGGGAGAACCTGTTTCCCTTCTAGCCTCTAAAGGCTGCCTCCGTTCCTTGGCCCGAGGCCCCTGCCTCCGACGAAGGCTAGGACCCTGGCACCTTCTCTGACCTCTGGGTCCATTGTCAGGTCTCCTTCCTTGCCTGCCTCCCTCATAAGGACCTTTGTGGTTGTATCGTCCTCTGTCCAGCTCCAGATCCTGAACCTAATCACACCAGCAAGTCCCATGCAAGGCAACATCTTCACGGGGCCCAGGGAGTAGGTGGTGGACAGCCTGGCCCGCACGGGGCTTTTCTCCCACTCCATTTCTTTTTTATCAGGCCCGTCACCCAGTGACCCACGTATGGCCCACATGGTGCGCTATAAAGCCCCCGCCCGGGCGGGTGCACACACGGGGTCAGGGCAGGCAGGGCCGGGGGCATCTCGGCACCAGCCCCACCCAGAGTTAACATAACCGCTGACTTAACCTGCAAAATGGGGCTCCCTGCTTTTAGTGGGGGCTGTGAGGCTCAGCTAAGGTTTGTAAACTACTCAGAATCCAACACGTGAGAGCAGCCGTACGGGTTGTTTTCAATGTCCCGCGGTAGATGGTCTTACTCCCCACGTCACAGCTGAAGAACCCGAGGCTCAGGGTCTGTGCCCATCCCTGGGGCTGCCGTCAGCAGATTTCCACCAACTGGGTGGTTTAAAACAACAGAAATGTATTCTCTCATAGTTCTGGAAGCCAGAAGTCGGGAATCCAGGAGAGCCGTGCTCCTTCCAGGGATCTGAGGGGAGAACCCACTCCTTGCTGCTTATGGCTGCCGGTGGCGGTCCTGGGCTCGTGGCCCCCGCCGCCTCTCCCGTGTCTCCTCCTCAGTCTCTCTTAGGACACTTGTAGTGGCGCTTGGCACCTGCCCAGATAATCCAGGATTCTCTCATCTCGAGATCCTTAGCGATCATATGGGCAAAGACCTTTTTTTCAATAAATGGTCACACGTCCCAGGGGTTTGACATGGATATTTTTCAAGGCCACCACATGGTCCCTGACTTGCCTGGAGTCACAGCTGGTCAGTGGCCGAGCTGGGCCTGGAACCCCCTGCCCAGGGCTCTCATCCTCATCCCCCAAAGGTTTGCTAAGACCTGAGGGGGCCAGGGGGCTGAGGGGGCAGAGCCTAAGCCCTGGTCCCTTGGAGGCTGCTGGCCTGCGCGTCCTGGCCCTGGCCGGCGGGCCACCGATCCAGCCTCACCTGCTGACGGCTGGTCTCTTCACCCAGGCCGCAGCTATGACGAGAAGGTGGATGTGTTCTCCTTTGGAATCGTCCTGTGCGAGGTAGGTCCAGGGGCGGGTGGCAGTTGGCATGAGGCTTGGTGGTTCCTGTCCCCTCCCGGGGCTGCAGGCTGGAAGTCTGCAGGGGCCCCAGGCAGGCGGGGGAGCTCCTGGAAACAGGGCTGGCCACAGCAACGTGCACCCCTGGGGGGCGTGGTGGTCAGGCGGGTGCCAGACCAAGTGTGACCGGCTCCCAGCCCCAGGGACCCCTCCCCCGCCCCCAGGGGTAACTGCTGGGCCTTGTGCGGGACAGATCATTGGGCGGGTGAATGCGGACCCCGACTACCTGCCCCGCACCATGGACTTTGGCCTCAATGTGCGAGGCTTCCTGGACCGTTACTGCCCCCCAAACTGTCCACCGAGCTTTTTCCCCATCACCGTGCACTGCTGTGATCTGGACCCTGAGAAGAGGTAAGTGCGGTTGGGGCTCCGCCGGGAGCAGCCCTAGGGGTGGGCCCCCCCCCCCGGCTCCGTGGAGCAGAACCCACCACCCCACCCACGCGTCACCCCAGGCCCTCCTTCGTGAAGCTGGAGCAGTGGCTGGAGACCCTCCGCATGCACTTGGCCGGCCACCTGCCACTGGGCCCGCAGCTAGAGCAGCTGGAGAGGGGCTTCTGGGAGACCTACCGGCGCGGCGAGAGCGGACTGCCTGCCCACCCCGAGGTCCCCGACTGAGCCCCGGCCGCCCCCGTCCCCACCGCTGGCACCGCACTCCTCTGCAGGTCGTGGCCGGCTGTGGAGCGCTCGGCCAGGCGGCAGGCGCCCAGACTCCTCCCCCAGTGCCAGGCCCCGACTGGCCGCCTCCCTCCCGGGGCTGTGGCCCCTGCCCCGTCTCTGCCCCTGGCCCCAGAGCTGGCCTGGCTACGTACACACCGTCACCTCGCCCTGCCTTACCTCTGTCTTGGTGGGGCCACCCCCTCTCGCTTCTCCGCATGAGCTGGAGGGCCCGCGTGAGTCCCGCCCCATCCTGCACCCCGCCGCCCCCAGCCGTCCCGTGCACACCCCACCCGTGCGCAGCCCCTCTGAGGCCGGGCTGGTAGATAGCCTCAGCCCGGGCCCACTGATGGCTGGGGACGTAGGGGAGGGCGCAGGGTGGGGGGGAGGCCGCGTTGCTGGGGTGTATCAGCCCCCCGGCGGGGTGTCTCAGTAGCCACAGGTATTGATAATTACCCAAACCCCCAAACACAGAGAGGTCTGCCCCCGTGGGACGGAAGTCCCCAGTCGCTCAGCCGCAGGCCTCTCTTGCTTTGGGTCTCTTCATTTCTTTCTTGAAGCCACTTTAGTGAGAAGCAGGTACCAGGCCTCAGGGTGAAGGGAGGGTCCGCTAGGGGAGAGGGTCCCTGGGTCAGAGCTGCCGGGCGGAGCCACAGAGGGACGCTGGGCAGAGCGACGAGGCAGGTGTCCACCAGCATCCCAACTCCTGCAGTTCATCTCAGTACCCCGCCCGGGCTTCTCCCTCAGGCTCCCCCCCACCCCCCCCGCCATGGCCCTCTGTCCTCTGGGTTCTTTCTGTGTAATCTATTTTTTAAGAAGAATTTGTATTATTTTTTCATACGGCTGCAGCAGCTGCTGTCGGGGGGCTTGGGGTTTTATTTTTCTGGCGGGCGGGGGTGGGGGGGCCATTTTGTCACTTTGCCTCAGTTGAGCATCTAGGAAGTATTAAAACTGTGAAGCCTTCTCAGTGCACTTTGAACCTGGAAAACAATCCAAACAGGCCCATGGGACTAGGAGTCCGGGAGGTGGGACGCGTCCCCTCCGTCCAGGAGTCGTGATGTCTGAAGAACAAAACGCAGACTTAGAACAATAAAATAAATTCCATACTCCCCACCCGGATTCCCCGTTGCCATGTGTGTCTGGGGCCCCCAAGGATCCAGGAACGAGAGCGGCACTTTGTGACTAGAAGCCCGATGAGAAGACGGGAGTGGAGGGCAGGTGGGGACAGGCGCCGGGCGGGAGTGGGGGGGGGGGGCGCCCGGCCACTCGAGTGGAGACTTCTCCAAAGCTGGGCTTGGGAGCGGGGAGATACTAGGGAACGTATTGCTTTCATGTAATCGTAAATGTTCTCTTCTTTCTAAAACTCAAGGGATCCGGTCAGGAAAACAAATCACACTAGCTTTTTGAAACAGAGGGCGTTGGATACAGAGGATTGTTTAAAGCAGTGGCTGAAAGACAGTGGAAGGGTAAAAAGCGGATACTGGGCTAACCCAGAGATGGTGAACTTCAGGAAGCAGCTACCACGCCCCTGGCAGGGGCATTTAGGAAAAGAGGGGGTTACTTTAGCCATCTGGTGTTGGCATATCAAATCACCCCTTAAAGTCAGTGGCTTTTGAAAGAACAGTGATCGCTCATGACTTTGTCAAGAATTTGGGAGCAGCTTGGGTGAGTGATTTTGGTCTGGGGTCTCTCCTGAGGTTGTGGTCACATGCTGTCTGGGCTGCAGTCCTCTGAGGACATGACTGGAGCTGGAGGGTCCACTTCCAAGGACCCTTGTATGTGGCTTCCTCCCATGGCTACAGGTTGATGCTGGCTGCTGACCAGAGGCCTCAGTGACTGTCAGGGCCTCTCCACAGGGCTCCCTGAGTGTCCCTGCACATCCTCTAGAGCAAGCGTCCCAAGAGAGCCAAGGCGAAGCTCCACTGCCTAGTCTCATACTTTCACCATATTCCACTGGTCACACTTTCACCATATTCCACTGGTCACACGGGCCCACCCTGACTCAGTGTGGGAGGAGACTACACAAGGCCATGAATACCTGTACCAGAAGGGATCACTGGGGCTCATCTTGGAAGCTGGCTAGGACCTTGGAGGGAGGAGCCCTGTGAGACCAGTGCTTGAATTTTTTAAGTTTTTGTTTGTTTTTGTTTTTTTTTTTGAGGGGCACCTGGGTGGCTCACTTGGTGAAGCGTCTGCCTTTGGCTCAGATCATGATTTCAGGGTCGTGGGATCGAGCCCTGCATTGGGCTCCCCTTCTCCTCCCTTTGCCCCCACCCCGAGGCATGCGCTCTCTCTCTCAAATAATCTTTTAAAAAAATAAAAATTTTTTTTGAGAGAGCACGCACAAGCAGGGGAGCGGCAGAGGGAGAGAGAATCTTAAGCAGGCTCCACACCTAGCAGGGAGCTCAACGCGGGGCTCGATCTCACGATCCTGAGATCATGACCTGAGCAGAAATCAAGCCGAAATCATGCTTAACCGACGGAGCCACCCAGGCGCCCCTGCAGTGCTTGGATCTTTGATGTGTGTTGGGGGGGGGGGGGGGAAGGTTGGATTCTAAGCAGCTGATGCTGGAACTTCTGAGAAGGTGGGTGCAAAAATGGTCATTGCGGGAGCCAAAATCTGCCGCTGCTGACTAGCGTGGGAGAGCACAAGAACGAGAAAGTCCCTTCCCTTGTTTCACTTCCAGGTCTCCCCCAGCTGCCAGGGAAGCCCTGGAAATGTAGTTTTCAGCGGTCCAGCAACAGCATCACAGAGAATGGAGTGGGTGTGGGCCTGAGACAGAGTAACCAGCACAGTCCACCTCTTTGGCTCCTCGTCACTTGTACACATCTTTCTCCTGTACTCGATTTCCATATGACTCTAACAACTTTGTGCTTCCCCCCAACTAGGAGTGAGGAACCTTTGTGTACCCATTGTTCTCTTCCTAAAAGGGAGGGACAGCAGCATGCTGGGGTCACCATATCCACCACTCGGATTCCCCTTGAGTGTTGTGTAACTTAAATAATGAAGTTCACCATCCTCATCAATACATTTACATCAAGTAAGGGAAGTGGGCGGGGGGGGGAGTTAGTTGATGGACACACAAGCAAAGAAGAAAATATCCAGAGCTGCTGTGGTCCTCACTTCCCAAAACCGGTTCTGATGTCATAATTCGATTTTTTAATCCTTATAATGAGATACAATTCACACGCAAGTCACCTACTTAAAAAATAGTTTCCGATATCTTCACAGAGTTCTGTGACCATACCACAGTTTAATTTTAGAACATTTTCATCACTGTCTTGACAGTGTCCTTTGATGCACAGGAATTTTAAATGGTGGTGAGGTGGGCAGATGGCTTAAAAGACACAAACAACCAAAACTCACCAAAGAAGAAATAGAAAATGTAACCGATCGTTTATTTACCAAATGAACTGAATTTATAGTTCAAAATGTTCAGAAAAAGAAAACTTCAGGCCCAGAAGGTGTCACTGGCAAATTTAAAGGAGGAATTCTACACAAGTTCTTCTAGAACATAGAAGAGAAGGGAGCACTCCTTAATTCGTCTTATGAGCTCAGAATTACCCTGACACCAAAATCAGATACAGGATAAGAAGAGAACAATTTCACACCAATATCATTCAGGAATAGAAAAGCAAAAGTCTTCAGCAAAGTATTAGCAAATAGAATCTAGGGCTGTCTAAAAACAATATGACCACACAGGCTTTATGCTGGGAATGTACTAGCAGTCCAGGATTTTAATCAACCCATGGAAAAACCACAGCGAGACACCACTTCACACCCACCAGGATGACCATAATCTTTTGAAAGAAAGAAAATGAGTGTGGGAGAGGATATGGAGAAGTTGGAACCCATGCTGATGTGAATATAAAATAACGCAGCTACAGTGTTGGCAGTTCCTTAAAATGTTAAACACAGAGTTACCATCTGATTCTGTAATTCTCTCAGGTATATGAACAGGAGAAATGAGAACATACGTACACACGGAAACTCGCACATGGATGTTCCTAGGAGCCCAAAAGTGGAAACAACCCAAACGTCCATCGGTGGATGAATGCGTAAACATCTGGCATGTCCACACAATGGAATATTACTCTGCCTTAAGAAGGAATGAAGTACTAATGCACAACAAGGATGAAAACACTAGGCTAAGAGAAAGAAGCCAGACAGAAGAGCTCACATGTTGATTCTGTGTACATGAAGGGTCCAGGCAAATCCACGGAGACAGGAAGTAGATTCATGGAGGAAGAGAGGATGGGGAGTGACTGCCAATGCATATGACGTTTATTTAGGGGATGAAGAAAATGTTCCAGAATTCGATAGTGGTGATGGTTGCACAACCCTGCAAACATACTAAAAACCACTGAATTATACACTTAAAATGGTACATTTTAAGGTGTGTGAATTATATCGCAGTTTTTAAAATCATAATATTAGATATCAAGTGACGCTGAAAGCATCTGGCAAAAATTCAACATCCATTCCTGATTTGGTTTTTTTCTTTAGGATTTTATTTATGTTTTTGACAGAGAACGATCGAGCGGGAGGGAGAGGGAGAAGCAGGCTCCCCGCTGAGCAGGGAGCCCAATGCAGGGCTTGATCCCAGGACCCTGGGATCATGACCTGAGCTGAAGGCAGACGCTGAACCACCCAGGCGCCCCCATTCCTGGTGTAAAAAAAAAAAAAAAAAAAACTCAGCAAATCAAAAATACAAGGTAACGTCCTTAAATTGATTTAAAGGCTACAGAAAAACCCACAGCTAACATTATACTTAATGGTGAAAGAATGTGTGCTTTCTTCCTGAGATCAGGAAAAAGGCAAGGAGGTCCATCCAGCCTCACCACTCCTAGTCACCATTGTTCTGGAAGTCCTGGTCACTGCAGGAAGACAAGGAAGTGAACACGAAGTAAATGTGTACCGGGCACCTGGTTGGCTCAGTCGGTGGAGAATGTGACTCTTGATCTCGGGGGGGTTGTAAGTTCGAACCCCATATTTGGTGGAGCAATTACTTAAAAATAAAATCTTTTTAAAAATCAGTGAAGGGGGCGCCTGGGTGTCTCAGTCGGTTAAGCGTCTGCCTTCGGCTCAGGTCATGACCCCAGGGTCCTGGGGA